AGTGATAAACTAAAGTGATAAACTAAAGGGATAAACTGGTTTTGACTATGGGTATGCTGGTCTGATCATACCCACCAGAAAGTCATGCTTCCTTTGTTTCAAGTCAAAGCTTTGGTTAATGGAAGTTAGCTAACATGCAAGAGACGGTGTGAGAGGTGAGAAAAAACGATTAACCCAAGAAAACTAAGACTGAGATGATTTCTGTTGATTGCAGGTCATTTCCTCCCTTCACTCTTCCTGCTCTCATAGTTTTGGTTCATAACCAGTGTTCCTGAATGTCATGGTAGATTGTCCAGCATCAATGCATCGGTTTTTACCAGTAATACGCACACAAATAACCAACGGTTTAGTTTTCTATATTCTAGTCATGGATCTAAAAATTGCACTTTTTGAGGTGCCCTACATGACTTGTTAAGATGCGCTACACAAGACAATTGTTTTGGTTTAGAAAAGTGCAGGTTAACAAAGAACCCAAATGACTCCCCATTCCATAAAATGAAAGGAAGGTTGAATCGACCCGGACTCAACAAGTTAACAACTGGTTGCTCTTGGAGACGCCTCCTCCAAGAGAAGAGGGTTAAGAAGAAATAGAAGTTAAGAGATAATCACCAGAAGGTTTCAAACCATGTTAATCACAGACTCTGCAGTTTGACAATACTTACAGTTAGTAAACAAGCATCAAGATCCCAACTAGCATGCTGGGAGCGGGACAGCGATATAAGACGTCACAGCAGGACCTACCTTCCCACCGCCGGGCTGGTACTTCATGTTGTCAGTGGAGCCAATCTTTGAGCGGACATTGCGAATGTCAGGAGCCGGAGCCGTGCCTGGGCGAGCCGTGGGCCTGGTGGCGGTGCTAGTCGTGGTGGATGTGATCGATGAAGTGGGCCGTGTGGTGCGGGGCACCAGAGGCTTCTTCTCTGTGGTGACCGTGGTGGAGGACGGAGCAGCTGGCTTGGCTGCCGTTGTCCGAGTGCGAGAAGCAGTAGTGGTGGAAGATGCGCTCCTTGAGGCGGTGGTAGTGGTCTTCAGCTTGGTAGAGTCGGCTGGAGGGAAAGTTTTATACAAAGCTTTAAAATGTGGCTCGCTTTGAATAGATATTTCTATCTTAGAGCAAATTCTCTACTTCCTCTGATTTGGATCTAGAAATTGAAGCGTTGGTCTGTGGCTCATCTAACGTGGCATATCCCACAAATTCCGGTTGACACCTGATGATTACGATAGACAACCATGACATATGATCCTGAAAAGCCATTTCAATCTAATTGATAAGCTAATGCTTCATAGCGATGGATGTGCTGCTGTTGTCTGCAGCTGAAAAACCTGACTTCAAACAGCTGCTCGCTAATCTTGATCCATAGGAAGTTCTTGGCCCCAATTTTTCCTCTAACTCAGCGCTCCCTCATTTGTACAATGAGTGCAGAGAATCGGTGCAAAATGAGCAGCAATCTGTGTCTTACTACGCCACAACATCGGATCTCTGGTCAAGTCACACATCCAAGCCCTACCTCAATTCACTACATGGATAGAATATGGAACCTGTTAAGCGTCTAGAATCTAGACATCTCAAATGTCAGATTGACTTTCATGTGGCTCCAGCCTCCAATATTTTCCTTCTGCTGAAATGTCTGTCTCGTTTTACATCTGCTTTTCTTGCGCTGAGTTTTTTTGTTTTTTGATATCTCAAACTGTATTCTGCCTGTATGGAAAAACAATCTAGAAATGAGTAAAAATGTCTCAAATTAAGTTTATTTAACCTTATTTTGAGTAGGTAAATGAGACAGTTTGCCAATGGAATGAGTATTTTTACTCTTAAAATAAGATAATTGGATAATATGCACTTGAAATAAGGCAATGCAATTGTGTTTTCTTATATCAAATGTAAATTGTCTTGTCCTACTGGCAAAATGTCTCTTTTATCTCCTCAATCCAAGAACAAATGCACTTATTTTAAGAAAGAATTCCTTATCTAGATTTAGATTTTTTCCAGTGTGGTTCCTATCTTTCCACAGAATAAAGGCAGCGCTATAGGGGACTGCCTACAGGTTGGGGCCCTCGGCAACCATTAGAACGCACCAAAGGTAGCATTCTGCGACATGCATGGCCACAGTAAACCGTTCCCCCTCTCAGCCCCCCTACACGCCACCCCAATATATATGGGATGTGTAGGAGCCTAAATGCAGTTTATTTGAGTTAGAATATTTATTTTTTATTTTATTTAAGAATATGCGAATTCATAAGTAAGATAAATATTGTTTTTGATTTAATGATTCTAAGGGATTTAAAAGGATTAAAAAATGCTATTTTTATATGTTCAGTTAATTGATATTGTGAGAAAGATATGACTTTTATTGTGACATTTAAAAACCCACGAAGGGGAGTGGTTTATCTTCATGCCAGGTGAGGAAGGCAGTG